AGCCAAAAGGAATTTGTCTGATGTGTATTTTAGATAAGTCCATTGAATGGTTTTGCCCTATATAGCGCATTTTTAAAAAAAAACCATTTTCAACCTTGTCGCCATTTTCATAGCATGACGCGCCAGTTCGCATTAGGCCTACCACTAAAAGTTGCTACAATCGCGCCACATTGCAAGCTACAGCAGTCTAACAAGTCAACAGAAGTCTGCAGATATTATTTTTCACAAATTTTGTTCACCTGCTCAGATCATGGTTACGTTTAGTAAAGAGCAGAGAGCTTTTTGTATTGAACATTACCTCTCCACAAACTCACCATCCTTGACATTCCATAAGTTCTGCGTACGGCATGGAGAGAATGCTTAGGTGCCCTCAAGACCTATGGCGTCATGAGTAGAGAAGTTCCGTCTGTTTGGATCTATAGCGAATCAGAACTACAAAGTTCTTTAAAACATGACTTCTTGAGGTTGAACACGCACCACGCGCAGCCCTTTAAACGTCACCAGAGTGCAGATTTCAGTAGCCGAGTCCCGTTAGACGTCTGTCCGTGGATGATCTGCAACTAGGAATTTCGTACACACCGACGGTCTGCATTCTCATGGCTGATTTAACCTAAGACTATACCATGTTCATCTTCGCTAGGCCGAGATGACATGGCTCAGAGCATGGAAATGTGTTCATGATTCCTCGATTGTCTTGTAAAGAGGGATCATTTCCTCGATGACATTTGGTTTAATGCAAAGCCCATTTTCACCCTGCGGGATATGTTAACTCCAAAAATGCTGTCTATTGGGCACCCCACTCTATTGTCTTTAGAAGCCACTTCTTAGTGAACATGTACAGTGTAGGCCTATGTGGCTTTAAAAACTCATTGTTTAGCAGGTCCTTGTGTTAGTGTGCCACTGAACATTTCGAACGACGCGTTAAAAATGTGTTGAGTCCAAAGGAGGGAATGTGGAGCACTGCTTCTAGGAATTTCAAAAGGAAATCATTAGGTTTTTTAAACTCTGTAAAAGAATTTGAATACTGTTAAAATGTCACTGGGATGGAAAATTAATGCCAAAGAGAAAATAAAGAAAAAGGTCAACTAATCTTTTCACGACTTCCTTTACAAGATTTTTAAACGTTGGTGAACTTTGCATTTTTGGGTGCTTTATTCTTTTAGCAGTTTCCATTTTCAAAACATGTTTCTTTTTCGTGGATTTTATATCAAACAAATTTCTTTTAAATGAATTATGTCTGTTCCAAATTACAGCATTCTACAACAATCTTTGTGCGAGATATTCAGAAAAAAAAGTTGTACAGTTTTTTGGGGATCACCATATCAAATACTTTGGCATTTGAAGAGTGGCATTTGAAGAGTGGTGCAGTACAGCCGCAATAACTACTTTTATGCATTACGAGAAAACCAAAAGATGTTCAGTCTCTAAAGGCCGCATGTAGGCGATAATGACGAACTACTGTCAAATTTAAAATATTGCAACATCTTTTAGAGACCTATCCACCCTTTGAAATAACGTCATCGATTTCATCCTCTTTTCTTTTTTTAATCATAAAAGAAGTTCTAAAAGGGGTCGTTAAATGTAAGCTGGGTATGCAAACAGAAAAGGAAAAAAGAGAAAGCTCAGTGCGAGTATGGTTAGAAAGTAGTCAACGACAGTTGTTTTCTTTTTAATTTTTCTAACTGCTGACCGTTAGAGAAGGGACGATCAATTTTTGGACGACCGTTTGACGGGATTTATTTGGAGGAGGGGGGGGGCTGAGTGCTGAAAGAAGAGGACAGAGATTGATTGTTGTATCCCTGTAAAATATTAGAACAGAGAACTTGGTGGGTACCTCAATACGACTTGAGGTTGTTGGGATGTGTGTGTATGTGTGTGAGTCTTTATGTGTATGTGTGTGAGTGTGTGTATGTGTGTGTGTTGGTGTGTGTGTGTGTGTGT